TAACTCACTAGAACGCTAAATCAATGAGAATCCTGAGCTTGTTTCTTTGCAACAAGACGTTCCATCTGGGTGTAATAGGAGACAATGACACCCGAAGTGTGTTTCTTATGTCCAGTTTATTCCGTTGTTCCGTCGTCCATTTAAAGTCGCACAAACCCGAGAGAAATACACCATAGTAAATAAAATGGAAATACCAGTAATTTAATGTTCCTTGGGCAGCCCAGTACCATTTGATCCATAGACCGGTACCAGTCCACAGCCCGGGGGTTGGGGACAACTGCTCTGAAGAACACCACTAATAGATACGAATGTGAGATGATGATGGAACATTGTATGGTTGTGAAAGTATTTGATTTGGATTTGCAAGGTATAAAATGATGTTCAAAGAGAGACAAATGGCTGTATATGGTAATGTTATGGTGGCTGTGTGTATGGTGGTGAAACTTTGGTATGGCAGAATCATAGGAGTCATATTACTGCATATGAAATGAAGTTTATGAGAGGGGTATGTGGCATAATGGGGAGAGATTATGTGAAAAATGAACAAGTGCTCAAGTAATGTGGAGTGAAAGAGAATGTTGAAAAAGATTGGGAAATCTGCTCTACGATGATTAAGCCACATTGAGAGAATGAAAGGAGAAAAACTGTTGAACAGAAATGTTCTCCGTAAATATATCTTAGATTCAGAAACATACCAATATGTTTAATATACAGTGTGATTTAAAAAGGATTTTTATAAGTTATAGGTTGATTGAAAGGACTTTAAATATTGTATTTAGTTTATTTCATGCACATATTTAAAACTGTTCTTGTTATTCAATTCCATATGAACAACTGCACAAACTTGGTTTTTGATTAAAGCCAGACAATCTGTCAAATTATCAGGCTGCAATGAAGCTAAGTTAATAATTAGATGCAAAATATTTTATCTAGAGGTGCCTACCTCTAGGTAAAAGCTGATTAAGCTGTTATCTTATAGCCTTATACCCTGATGATAATATGGCTTTAATCAAAAGTATATATAATTATATACACATTATATTATGCCTGGGTAAAAATGACAGCTGGCTGAGTGCCATGGATGCTTAAGTCATTCCCAGTCAGTGTCAAGAGTAAAACCTGTATGGATTAGATATAACCTGTATGGTTATATCTAAATGAACAATTCTGAAAGTGAAGATTGATACAGGTTTAGGTAACATAACTGGCAACACATCTACATAGTAAATGAAGTTCAGGTTTGAGTCCTGCTCTAGACTGATTCTTTTCTTCCAGACAGTGTAAATTAAAATTAATTTATTATAATTATCACAAAATGGTGGCTTAGACAAGTTATTTCATATCTAATTATTAACTTGGCCTTATTATAGTTCAATAATTCAGCAGACCATATGGCTTTAATTCCATTAAATAAGCTGTTCTTGGAATATAACAATCTCTAAGCTTTGAAATGTTAAATTGATGATGGCTCGAGAAGTCAAAAACATTTTTTAAAACAAAGAAATTTTAGTAGCCTAAAAAAAAACAGTAGAAGATACTTTATTTATCATAATGGTACCAAGTTATGTTAATTTTAAGGACTGGTGGTAAAGTTGTAGATATAAAAGAAACTGACATTTCAGAAAGATATTTAGCTGTTATTAATTGAAGTTTGTTCATTTTATACATTTGAAAGAATATAGAATTTTAATCAAAAGACTCAGAGAAATACATACATACATACATACATACATAAGGTGTTTAGCCAGTGGAAAAGAGGGAAAGGGTGAGAGGAGATACACAGTAGAGAAAGGTAGGATCCCTCTGAATGGCGTACACTCTACATTTGTTGTTGGCATGCAGTTTTTAGGCTGCAAGGTCGTAGTCCCCCGAAGAGTCTAAAAGAAAACCTGAGTATAACGAACACCAATAATTGAATGCCACCACGAATAGCTAAGTGTAGAAGTTAGTGCCAAGTGACTGTTAGTGGGAAGACTTATATCTACTTAATACTCATAAAACTGAATCTGAGCACGAATCTCAATACTATTAACAGCTAGACAGACAGTGTGAAAACAAACGTATATAGTTTGTTGTGTGAGAACACAACAACAAATTATATAAAATGAACAGACCGACAGAAGACAAGCTAGCAAGACCCCAAATTTTTTTTTTAACAATAACTTACTCACTAACTGAACTAACCTAACATAACCTAGGAAGAACATAACCAGATGACTAATGTTAACAACCCTAGTCTAATTTAATCTAACCAGAAACCAAGGTAAGAGTTCCTAATCTAACTTACAACTAATACTAACTTAAACTAACTGAATTTAAATGAAAAGAAGACGAAAAATAAGAATTAAAATACAAAGTTGAAAGGCAGCTATATACTGACAGTTGAAACAAAGCAAGGGAAAGCTAATTGCCATCCATGCCCCAGTATGTGCTTTAAAGCAGTGGTCCCCAACCTTTTTATCGCCGCGGACCAGTCAACGTTTGATATTTTACCATGGCCCACTGAGGGGGGACATTGATTGTTTATATTTTAGATTGATTTAATTTAAAATTTTAATTTAATTGTATTTAAACATGCCTTCAAAATAAAATACAGTTACACCAAAAAATGAATATAATGTGATTTAACATTTTAACTCACTAGAACGCTAAATCAATGAGAATCCTGAGCTTGTTTCTTTGCAACAAGACGTTCCATCTGGGTGTAATAGGAGACAATGACACCCGAAGTGTGTTTCTTATGTCCAGTTTATTCCGTTGTTCCGTCGTCCATTTAAAGTCGCACAAACCCGAGAGAAATACACCATAGTAAATAAAATGGAAATACCAGTAATTTAATGTTCCTTGGGCAGCCCAGTACCATTTGATCCATAGACCGGTACCAGTCCACAGCCCGGGGGTTGGGGACAACTGCTCTGAAGAACACCACTAATAGATACGAATGTGAGATGATGATGGAACATTGTATGGTTGTGAAAGTATTTGATTTGGATTTGCAAGGTATAAAATGATGTTCAAAGAGAGACAAATGGCTGTATATGGTAATGTTATGGTGGCTGTGTGTATGGTGGTGAAACTTTGGTATGGCAGAATCATAGGAGTCATATTACTGCATATGAAATGAAGTTTATGAGAGGGGTATGTGGCATAATGGGGAGAGATTATGTGAAAAATGAACAAGTGCTCAAGTAATGTGGAGTGAAAGAGAATGTTGAAAAAGATTGGGAAATCTGCTCTACGATGATTAAGCCACATTGAGAGAATGAAAGGAGAAAAACTGTTGAACAGAAATGTTCTCCGTAAATATATCTTAGATTCAGAAACATACCAATATGTTTAATATACAGTGTGATTTAAAAAGGATTTTTATAAGTTATAGGTTGATTGAAAGGACTTTAAATATTGTATTTAGTTTATTTCATGCACATATTTAAAACTGTTCTTGTTATTCAATTCCATATGAACAACTGCACAAACTTGGTTTTTGATTAAAGCCAGACAATCTGTCAAATTATCAGGCTGCAATGAAGCTAAGTTAATAATTAGATGCAAAATATTTTATCTAGAGGTGCCTACCTCTAGGTAAAAGCTGATTAAGCTGTTATCTTATAGCCTTATACCCTGATGATAATATGGCTTTAATCAAAAGTATATATAATTATATACACATTATATTATGCCTGGGTAAAAATGACAGCTGGCTGAGTGCCATGGATGCTTAAGTCATTCCCAGTCAGTGTCAAGAGTAAAACCTGTATGGATTAGATATAACCTGTATGGTTATATCTAAATGAACAATTCTGAAAGTGAAGATTGATACAGGTTTAGGTAACATAACTGGCAACACATCTACATAGTAAATGAAGTTCAGGTTTGAGTCCTGCTCTAGACTGATTCTTTTCTTCCAGACAGTGTAAATTAAAATTAATTTATTATAATTATCACAAAATGGTGGCTTAGACAAGTTATTTCATATCTAATTATTAACTTGGCCTTATTATAGTTCAATAATTCAGCAGACCATATGGCTTTAATTCCATTAAATAAGCTGTTCTTGGAATATAACAATCTCTAAGCTTTGAAATGTTAAATTGATGATGGCTCGAGAAGTCAAAAACATTTTTTAAAACAAAGAAATTTTAGTAGCCTAAAAAAAAACAGTAGAAGATACTTTATTTATCATAATGGTACCAAGTTATGTTAATTTTAAGGACTGGTGGTAAAGTTGTAGATATAAAAGAAACTGACATTTCAGAAAGATATTTAGCTGTTATTAATTGAAGTTTGTTCATTTTATACATTTGAAAGAATATAGAATTTTAATCAAAAGACTCAGAGAATTGGGGTGTTAATTTATAGCAAAACACATCACATTTGTCTCACATAGTACAGAAATATTTCATGAGACTGACGAAGAGGAGACATTCTTGGACAACAGTGATGAGTTATCTTCAGTGATGAGTCGACATTTCATCACATTGGTAAAGTAAACACTTGTAACTGCAGGATTTGGGGCTTAAAAAATCCATAAGTAACTGTCGAACATGTTTATGACAGTGCAAAAGTAAACATGTTTTGTGCTCTTAGCAAAGATAACATACAGAACCTTTGTTTTATCAGCAGTAACATTTATCTGAATTTGTTGGAAAATTTTTTCATTTTACAATTAAATAACAATGACACACAGATGCATGCATTTTCAACAAGATTGCACATCATTCCACTACTGTTCAGATGTCCAGAATTTTGCTCAATAAATGTTTATCAGATGGTGGATTGGTCAAGTAAGGTTGATAACATGGCTATCTTAAAATTTTGTATGCTTTCAAAGTTGTAAAGTTTTTTGAATTTTCCTGTACTGTACAGATATCTAAAATTACTATACAATAAATGTATATTTGAAATCAATTGTAAATCTATACAAGTAAAGATGTTTTATTCATTAAGATAAAAGATTTCTGTTAAAAAATATTAATTTAAATAATTTTATTATTATGATTAATTATAAGAAATCTTTTATCTATGGTTCAAACATTTTTTTGTATGCTTAAGGAAACAATGATGTTGTTGTTATTGTTATTTTTTAAATCTAGATGATACATCAAATTCTGTTGTTTTAAAACAAGTTCATTCTTCACTCTCAAAAGGCTGTCCCATACCAAGTAGTTCTCTGACATGTGGAATGGAAGATATGATGGCTGATATTCCATCAAAAATTGACTCTTTTCAAAAGAGGAGGAGTTCTTCCAGATCAATTAAACGTAAAAAATTTGATGATGAAGTTGTTGAGAGTAGTCTTGTCAAATCTTCCAGAAATCGTCCACCTTCAGGTTCATTAATTGGTATTGGTGGTTCTAGTTTTAATACAACAACATTATCAACGATAATGAACACAGGTTGCTCTGAACAGATATTTTCAGAAATGCCTCAAGTCACAATTCCTGAAAAAAAGAAAGTAAGTCCTTTATTTATTTTGTTTACTTAGTGAAATAAATAAAAACTTTAAATTTTTTATTTTTAACAGCCATCTAAATCAACTCCAAAAAGAATAAAGAAATCAAAGGTAACATTTTTTATAAATATTTATTGTGTATAACTTACTATTTCAAAAGTAATATTTTTTTAATCATTTTATTAACAATCCATATGTTGTACTTATTGTATAACATTTAAATTTCAACAAAAAGTTTTATTTTGATGATTATGAGCGATACAAGTAAGTGATAATTACTGTATACTCTATGCAAAATAAAAATCTGCCTATACAGATGAATCGTTTAGGCATATTCAAACTTAAAAAAATTAGTAGAAGATAAAATTAAATAAAGATTTGATGAATATAGATAATATACAGAGAAAATATGTTGAAAAAGTTAAGAATAAAAACAAAAGTGCTTTAAGTGCAAAATAAAATTGTAATAACTACAATGCAAAACAATAGAATATGCTGACTAGCTTAAACTTTCCTACGTAACAATATTACTTTGAAAAACAATAATATTTTATATCATTGCATTTGAANAATATATATGTTACTGTGAATGACCGAAATCTGGCGAATGTCAACATTCTCCGGTGAATGTCAACATTCACACAGTCGTTTCGTGTATGTCCGAAATATTTGCTAAATATCGTTATTTCTCACTTACACCAGCAAATGTCGACATTCAGAATGCACTGATGGTGAATGTTGAATAAAAATATTTTTATTGTTTTAAGACAAAAATGCAACTTTTTAATATGTCAAAATAGGAGAAAGCTTAAGTAATAGTACATGTAAATAAACTGTTGAACCTAAAACGAACAGTACATTCTATATCATTAAAGAAAATAATACAATAATAAACTTACACATAAATTATGTGATTAACATTATATAATCTTATTTCTTGCAACAACTTAAACTGTTATGGCATTTTGAATTGCACAAGAGTCCCTTGCTTTTACAACTGCATTTATTCGTGGAACACTTTTTTTTGCAATGACAGCGTGTATAGCCTTGCCCTCCACTTTTCGAATTAGCTGCAGCTGCTTCTCTCAGCGATATTTCTTGAGAAGAAATCTTACCTATGGAAAATTTTCTTTACAAATTACGAACTGATTACGGGTATAAAGCTGCTTGAAGGTATCATTTTTGTTTGCTAATTTATAAAAGTCGGAGTCTTCTATTCTAACAACAACTGCCAACACATTTCGGGCATCTGTATGGCCATGGTCAACATCAGNTGAGGGTATCATTTTTGTTTGCTAATTTATAAAAGTCGGAGTCTTCTATTCTAACAACAACTGCCAACACATTTCGGGCATCTGTATGGCCATGGTCAACATCAGGGACTTGTATTCGTACGGTATCACCAATTTGAGCAGAAGGAAACGGCGAAGAATTCGGCGACAGACTGTCGCCTCTCTATCGACATCGGCTTCTTGGGTGTTGTTTCGACCTCCACCAAAGCTTATCTGTGCTTGTCGACATACACCGGCGATTGTTCGAATGTATAATAATATAACAAAATATTCAGTCTTTCACCGGCGTATTTTGTATGTGTCGACATTTACCGGAGAATATCGACATTCTCTAATTTCGGTCTTTCACAGTAACATATATATATGTTACTGTGAAATATATTATTGGATTGATATGATATATATATATGTATATATAGGGTAATAATGATATATATTATTGGATTGTTGCAAAAGTTTCTGGAATTTTCTAGAGTTTTATAGTACAAAATTTATTTCAAAAACAAAAAATAGTTTATTCAAGAAAATAGTTGCCATCACATTCAAGTGATGGCAACTATTTTCTTTCATTTGATTGGAATTCCAGCTGAAAAAACTCAGGCTGTTTTAACTTTTAGAACTCTGCAAGTGCAATTTTTTTTATCTCATTCTTAGTGAACTGCTTTTCATCCAAGATGTGTTCCATGGAGCAGAAGAGTTGGAGAGATGGTATTCAGTTGGTGCAATGTTTGGGCTATACATGAGGTGAGGGAGAACCTTCCCAGCCATGATCAATCAGCTTCTGCTGAGTTACTCTTGACACACGTGGCCTTGCAGAAAGTGCTTAACCTATTCCCTGGTATTCCTGACATAACTCAGGTCACAACCTAATGACCTTGACTTGTAGACCCGAGATATCTTGTTTCAGCATTGGAATGTTTTTTGACCTCTGTTGCTAGTCAT